ATTAAAATTTTGCCGTCAAAACCTGCTAAAATATTTTTTTAATTTTAATAGTTTTGTACAAATTTTTGGATTTTCTTCCTGAGAAGTGATCACTTTGTCGTTTTTGATGTGCTCTTCAAATTCTGCGTTCACTTTTTTTTTATTGCCTTAAGATTTTTGTCAGTTTTGTTCTCGTCTCTTGCCTTTTTTGAAGCTATTCACTTCGGCTTTAATTTGAAAAATGGAGTGAGAAAGTGTCAATCTTTATCTTGATACTTAATCCCGAAAAATCTTAGTTGTAAACACTTTTACTGAATTTTTCCGGCTGCGTAGTCGCATAATATTCAGAATTTAAGCAATGAATTAAAAAGATTAGAACTGAGAGAGGGAGGAGTATTTTCTCAAAATGAGGAGTTTTAATTAGGTTTTTTTTTGGTTTGGTAAGAATTTTGTGAAATAATTTGACTAATCGATCTATGCCTTTTGAAGTTCTTGCGAATTTGTATAATTTGTTGTACATTGTATAAAATTCTTCCACAAAATTTTGTAAATATAAATGGCTTCGCCAGCTCACACTCTAGCCTAACAACAGTGGAAATTGGCGGAAGAAAGAGGACTAAGAGGCTGGCCCATGGCGTTCGATTTGATAGGATCCCGTGAGAAAGATGTGGAATGTCCATCACTGTGCCATAGATATGTCTCAGTTATTCCCTTTTTTTCCAGAAATTTATTGTTTTTTGCTTCTGTTTCGGATTAGAGAAGTAGCGCGAGTGAGAGGGATCGTTATTCCAAATTTTTTCCTGAAAACAAGAAAATTCTTGTAGAAATAATTAAGGGTATTTAAGTGATACATTTTCTGCATAACATTGGTCATTCACACTCTTTCTCTTTGTTCCATTCACTCGCATTATTATTCAGTATTGTTCGTAAAAACAGTGATGAATTTTTGCGCATGTTGTAATTTGCATTGTTTTTGCTTAAAAGCAGTGTTTTTTTAGCTTTTTTTGGCTCACAAAATATTTGCCTCAAAACGGTTAGTGGGTATTTTTTAAGCTGAGAGACGCTCTTTTTTGAAAAATAGCAAGGTCACCTGTTATACATCCGCTAGTGTTACTTCCAGTTTTCTTCGTTTTTCATAGAGAGCATGCTGTGGATGGATATAACTCTTGAAGGTGGGCCTGCGCGGCCGTAGGAGATGCATCTGTGAGGCACTCGTCCAAACCGATAAATAAAGCTTTATAAAAAAAAACCAACAACAAACCAACTAACAATCGGAGGAGACCCGACAGCTCCAGGCTGCCGCCTTACAGTAAATTGACGCGCAGAAACAATCACCATTTTATTACTGATCACATCATTGCATATCACAGAGGTGAGAGGGGAATTCGAATCTGGAGACGGGACACTTGCACAAACATGGAATCGAAGGGCAACTGGGCAGGGCGAAGGGGTTTAGCCATCGGCTTCATTTCCTTGCTTCTTTTTGAAGCAGAAAGTTTTTTACTTCCATATAAGTTTTTTTTGACTTTCATATAAGTTACCAATAATTGCATCAGAAAAAAAACACGGTCCAGAAATTTTGACTGTTGGTATCACGCCTGTAAAATCGAAGTTGCTCGATTAATGCTGCCGGTATTACCAATAGCCCACCTGTAACAGAAATTTATTTTTAAAATTATTACTAAATTTTTGTTATCGGACAGATGGTGAGTAGGGATCGTGAGTTCCACCTACACGTCAAACTCGACTTCGCCAAGCTTTCCTTTCCCACACTATCTGACATTAGTTCCAGATTAACACAAATTTCTGAGTGATAAATTTCAGGATGCTGTCCCTCTCGTATTGCTAGCGAGGGAAGAGGATAATTGGTGAGGAGCTGAATGAGTGAGTAAACTCTTACTTACTGGGTTTATGATAATAGGAATATTAGTTGTGATATAGATAAAAATATAAAATAATATTAAAAAGCTGGCTGAACAGGAATGCTTCGGTTCATGAAGTAATTTTCATTTTTATTCAGCACTGTAACTAAATCTTAACACTAAGGTGTTAATAAAGTAAACTGAAATAAATTTGTAGAAGAAAATAGGATATAATTGAAAATTCAGACAAAGTCAATTCTAGCTTTTCCTCTTACTTCCTTAAGTATTCGATGCAAAGCCAACGATGCCACTAAATCAAATCGGAATTCAAACTTTTTTCTCGTGCTTATAACATACAATTGCTGATTAGAATGCTGTGCTGATGATTCCCACTTCTAACTCCATACTACGTTTGGTGTGTGTTTAAAGCTAAGGGATGAAACACAGAATGCATCCAAACATGTCGTCTTGCGCATGATACTTAGACTGATCCTTTATCTCCTATTCTAGTATTCCTCTACAATTTACATTCTCTGAGAGGGGAATGCAGCCAGAAACGGCTCAAGCGATAGCATCAGCAGGCAAGGCTGTTAATGGTTCAGCTCTCCTGAGGAAGAATGTCACAGAACAGCTGTTATCGCGGAAGTCCTGCGAAAAGCCGAAACAAAAAAAAAGTATGTTTATGCAATTGGGCATACAGCATATGCATATATATGGGCTCCAAATTATGTGGTGCATAAGAGCACGTACTGTAGATTGGTAAACATTCGGATATGAAGAGGAGTGGGTCGATTTCTTTTCTGTCCAGAACGATCTTCGAGAAAGGGTTCCGTTCGCTGCAGTTATTATTGCTAATATAATCGCTATAACTAAAGTTTAAAGTGGATCTATGCCCATTATCACTAGAGACAAAGTGTATGTGATCTGAAAGTAGAAACTGTAGAGGATATGAGGTGAAAACTGACCAAATCTAGCAGATTAATAAATTTCTGCGCACTACTTACCTACTGCATACGACATGGCAGCGTTGAGATAAAAAAATTCGAATTTAAATGTACGATGAAATGCTTTAGCACAATCGTCGCTGTATACCGAATGTAGTGCCAGCGCTTTTTTCCGCTTACAATCCTCGAGCGAAAAGCATCCCTGCAACATTTCATAATATACCCAAATCTGCGCCTCGTTTTTATATATAAAATGCCTTAATAAGCGGCCACTTGGGCAATCCCTGGAGAAGTGATGTATCTATAATACATCAAACAGATGGTGGGTACTAACTGGAGGCATGCAGCCCAGGATCGAAAGGCCTGACATAGATGCGTCCGGCGTGTGGGAACATTCTAGCAACATCACTAACAAAAACAGTCCTGCTATTCTTTGTATGAAACGTTTTGAGCGAAAACTGGAAAAACTAAAAAAAAGCGAAAAAGATGTGAAAACAATGATATTATACTGAAATTTGTATTTTTTTCTTTAGTATGTTTTGTGTCTAAAACAAGCTATAGTGCAATGTTAAAAGAACACAAGAAATACCGCTAATGCGATATAAACATCCGCTTAAAAAGCTAATGAATTATCCTGATGAGATAGGTTCAAAACAGAGAAGAATGGAGAAGCTGTCAGCCACACTAGTGTCGAGAATAAATGCGATAATGAAAACAGCACAATACTTCGTTTATTATATTTACTTTATCCATCTTGCGCTTTATTTATAATTATATTTACTTTATCCATGATAACTGAGTTCCAGTGATTACCCAGTGTTGCTTAAATTGAGCCGCATAACTGCGAAGCCGTTCAAAATTTGTTTCGTTTAGCACTCTTTTGAATCGCCGAAAATCCAGATGTTCACAGGATATGGAATTATGTTTGGAGCGGCAGCATGACCATGGTAACGAGCCTTGAATGCTGGAATTAATTTTAAACATGATAAATCGTGAGTAGCAGAATAACGTGAAATATTTTATATTTGTGAATACTAACTGGAGGTATATACAACCCAAGATCGAGGGAGCTGACACAGATCCTTGCGCCCGGTTTGTAGGAAGCATTCCAGTAACATCTCTGACATCAGAAGATACCCATAGTAACAGCTCTGGTGGTCTTAGTACTCCTGGCATATAATTTTCATACAAAGGGCTGACGAATATTGTCAATTCGAAGAATTACATATATTCATTAGTCTTGTATAAGAAGAAATCTGATTTGAGCGGTATTATCAAGAAAGCATATGCTTAACGCAACGCATATGAATAAATAACCAAAATTTTGCTGTGTGCTTTTATAGGGAGAACCTCTGGGCTAGTAATCCCTCAAGGGGCGAAAAGAACCTTAGAATCACTAGCAGACTGACCACAAAGCGATGTAGCATTGGTCAAAGCAACTGGAAAAGTTAACACCTTTGTAGTTGGAGAATCAGGTGATGAACTGTGTGCAATTCAAGTAACAAAGTAAATATATTAACCCGTATAAATCCTGTCTGAATGCAGGATCGGATTGCATGTTATCAAGCCAAAATTGTTGCGGTTCCGCACCATTCAGTGAAACTCCGCAACATTGAAATTGCTGCTGAATGGCGTTTATCTCCTGCATATATTATTTTTATTATTTTACAAAAATCATTATTTTCTGCTTGCAGGAGATATCTACAAATCTTTACAGAAGATATCCATACTATAATCATAATTGCTTTAGTATTTTGACCGGATGCAATTCAGAGTGATGACTATGGTACTTTTGCAGTTGCTTTGACCAGTGCTGCATCGATTGGTGGACACCATCTCCTAATGATCCCGAAATTTGGGAGTACAAAAAGATTCATTCATAAAATGCTCCTATTAAACATAAATCCATCAGCATCAATGAAATTTTAACGCGCCTCTCTGTCCATCATCAGTACAGGGTCATAAAAAACGAAACCATTCAACTTGTAATTCTGGGTAAGCGATTTCGCAGTTAATAAAATATCCGGAAGTATGCTTTGGTAATTGATCAACTGCAGTACAGTTTTGTCGCCCATCTTTGCGGCTGGCAAATTTACCTTCGCATAGTCGTTTTCGATGAGTGCGAATTTTATAACGTGCAGTAAATTAGTTCGTATGGGCTTACGCCAGATATGGTTCCAAGCAAACAGAATGTAGCCAGTAATCATCGAAATTACACAGGCTGCAATCAACTCGTACCGCAACACATTCAGGTCTTCTCTTTTAGTTCCTTCCGGTGATTCTTCAAAACTGAAATTTTTCCATGATTGTGCGGCAGAATTATCATAATTCGTCAAAAAAAATGAGCTGGCAGTTTGCCAGAAGATGAGTGATTCAAGTGGTAGAAAATTTTATGTGTTTCTTGATGTCTTACCGAAAACGAGGGACTTGGAGATTTTTGATTCTGATATGAGTCGAAAGCGGGACTTTTTCCATGACCTAACCTCTGCATTGGGAGGAATTAATTTAGAAATAACCCTAGTGATTGCATATATCAAGGTTGTTGACGACTCCTCTTTAGAGGGCTGCTTACAAGCAAGCTGATGGAGAAGCTTTGTTTTTTCTGGCATTTGCCAATACGGGTGTTCTACTCTGTTAGTGAGATAACTAACTCCTCTATTATTTGGAGCAGGACACTCGACAGCAAGTTTTTCCCCGTGATAATCAGTAAAAACTATCAAAGCAAGTAATCAGTGAAAACAAATAA